TTTTTTTTTTTTTTTTTTTTTTTAATGCAATTCTGGGCCAGCAAGGAAAAGCAGGGCTCCAGGGCCCTGGACCCCAGGCCACTGCAAATCCTGGGGCCCCCTGGCTGCTTGGAAAGGAGCAGCTGTCCTGGTGAGGTGGCAACAGTGGTCTTGCAGGCTAGACGCCCTTTCTGTCCCCTCGGGGGGGCCTCCCCTTCCCCCCTTAAACCTGTGACAGAGTCAGATTGGACGCTGCATCCTGAACCCCAGCGCGAAGGCTACACGGGGGCAACAGAGGCGAGGGACCCTAGGCGTAGCCACCCCTAATCCACGCCCTGCGCTCCCTTTGCGGCCACCTGATGCTGGGAATGGAGTTTGTGTCCTGGAGAAGGAGGAGGAGAAAGACGCTGGGAAATAAAATCATTCCTTGGTTTCTTAATGTCGCAATCAGTGAGGTGGAAACTGAACAAGAAAAGATATTGGCGGCACCGTCCTGGCTGCGCGGATCAAAACTGGAGGCCTCTGGGAGGGGCGAGGGGACCAAGCTTCCTAGTGACCTGGTGACAAAGGAGGGGACTGAGCCCGAGTGGCATGGGGACCAGCGGCTGGAGAGGACAAAGGGAGGGCAGTGTCTCCCCCAGATCCCCAGCCTGGCGGGGACCTGAGCCAGGGGAGTCACCTTGTGCCCATCAGGATTTCATCCCCACTGCTCGGCCGGGCCTGGTGGAAGCCATATCTGTTCTCTGGGAGATGAACCCCTCCTCTGGCTTTTGGGTGTAGACTCCAGAATGGGGGTGGAGGAGCTGTGTCCCTGTCCCATGGACCCTGAGTCCCCCACACGCATCTGGGTGTCGGAGCTCAGATGTCAAAGTTCAGAGCTCCAGTGGCGCCATCCCCAGGCCCAAGGTCACCACACACCCCATGGGTGCAGCAGCCAGAACCGGGTGCCACTGGGCGGAGTCTGCTGCAGGCCTGGCCTAGTCCTGGTGGGAAGTGGGGGCTCTGCCTGCCACACCCCAGCTAAGGCCTGGCTCAGCCCACCGGGCCTGTGCCCTCCTAGGACCCCCAGGTGGGCCGGCAGGGGGCCCTTGTCCTGGCTGGGCTGCAGTGAGCTCCGGACTGCGACTCCCGGCCCTCGAGGCCGGGCTGGGAAGGAGCCTGCCCGGGCTCCTATCATCCCAGTGTCCGTCCTATATTGTTTCCTGCTCTTAAAACTGACATGTCTAATTGGCAATTGGTGCCGAATCGTGTCCAGAGGTCTCTTGTGGAACATTTCTACAGCTGTCTCCTTCAACTAGACGCTTATTCATGTCGCCTTAATGAGAAACAAAACGTTCTCTAATGAGCAATTACAGAACGACAGGATTGTTCCCATAACAAATTCTTGCGAGTGACAGAAGCATCCTTTGTACCAGATACTCTGCACACTGTTGCCGATTTCCCCTTCCCTCGCTGGGATTTCCTCTTCCCTCCCTGGCCTGGCCAGGCACAGCACACAGCACCCAGGGCTACCCAGCTCCCGCTGCCCCCACCTGCCCGGCAGCGCCACGCCCCAGGGGAGCCGCCGGAGCAGTCACCGCAAGCTGCCTGCCTGTTAGTCACTCTGGAGATCCACCCTCCGGCCCACCCGGCCACTTGTGAGACAGGCCCCTCCCTCCCCAGGGGCCTCATTCACCCACAGAAGTGAGAGGGTCCTGGGGCAGGGCCCCAGCCGAGAAAGGACGGGCTGGTGCTGGCCGGGGACCCCGCCTCCACCTCCCAAGTCCTCAGCAGCCCAGCGGACTCAGTCCGCCAGGTGCCAAAACACAAGGCGGTTCAGCGGTGCTGCCCTCTCAGGCTGTCAGAGCGTGCGTTTGTCACTGCTCCGTGCACCCGAATGTCAGAAATGAGTGGCACACCATGTGCCTGCTCGCACACGCACACACGCACACGCCTGCCACCTTTCTGCCACTCCTGACCTGGACACGCCCAGCCCGGCCACCTCCCCCAGTGCCCCTCGCTGTGTCCCGGGCTCCTCGCCAGGCCGCCAGTCCACCTCGGCACCCACACCCAAGGGGCTGCTTCTGCGGAGCGTCGGGGGCCGCTTGGCTCTTACCTTGGGTGGGCTGCCCTGGCACGGAAGTCCCCGGATACCACCCGGGGCGGGTGCCCCAGCTTCCGGTCTGCCCGTTCAGCAACCTTAGTTTGTCATACATGCCGTCTGCGCCCATCTGTTGCTTTTCGCTAGCCAGGTTGCGAAGAACTCTGTTTATTGATGACACCTGCAGATCAACCCAAATCAGATCAAATGGTAGTCATCTCCTGAAGACGGGGCCACCCGAGCCCGGCTCTGCTCGCCCACCCTCTGCAGAGCGCCTCTCCACACGTGAGACAGCCCCACCACCCTGGCATGGTGAGTAGCTTCGCAGCTACAGCAGCGACAAAGCAGCCTCCACTGGGGGCAGGGAAATGGGGCTGGGAAGAGATGGGGCGCTGAGGCCCCTCGCCCTCCCTCCCCAGGTCCTCCGGAGACTTCGCTCAGAGCGGCTCTGCTTTGTGTGGAGTCTGTGCAGATTCCTTTCCCTGCAGGGTTCTACTTCAGAGCAAAAATGAGTGTCCCAGCAGTGCCTGAAGGAGGTGCAGGTGGGTGCCCTGCGGCAGGTTGGGATCTGCTTTTCCTCTGCATTTTCCTCCTTGTCCTAGCGCCTTTCCTCAGCCCGCACCTGCCTGCCCTGGGTTTGCAGGAAGAGAGCAGATGCCCACACTGACTCCCATTCCCCAGATGGCCAGCAGCACTCAGGGCCCTGCTCTGCTAGCCCAGCGTCAGAGGAAGCCCTGCCATCCTGTCCCGGGAGAAGAGGAGGGAGGAGGCAGTGACAGGAGGGCAGCACCAGAACTCACACTTGGTATGTTGTCGTTGGTGCAGACCCCCTCAGACAGCAATCTGTCTCGGATTTCCCAGGCAAAGATGGACGGGCACTCCCGCTTGTACTGGGCAATCTTGCTCACAACTTCCGGAGTCGCGACTCTGGGTTTACTGCCCCCGATGGCCCTGGGTCGGATGGAGCCGGTCTCGTAATACCTGCCCAGAATTTTACTCACACACCCGTTGGACACCTGCAGAGGGGAAGTGGACAGAAAACCACATTATTAATAATTTCAAGACAAAAATAAAATTGTTTAAGTATGCATTAAACAATGACAAGCTTACGTTTTGATTGTCCAGCACTTGGACTTTTGCATCTGCATGGGTCTATAACACAAAAATATACCTTCAATGGTACGAGAGCTTACTGTAAAGTGCTTTTCTTTCTTAAAATTACATTGGTAGCCCTAGAACTACAAATAGGGTGATACTTTGAAACACCTTGCACTAAAAAAAAAACGCTAAAAAAATGTTTAAAAACTCTCCCTAAACACTGCCGGAAGAGCATCAAAACGAAGTCAAATTAAATTTCTTTGTGCTGACCTTGCACCAAGGGTGTGGTGTTCTGACAAGCAAAGGGGGTAAATAAATTGAATTTTTACTTTTTTATTAAAAATATGCCCAACTGAGGGAAAGAGTCGGGTGCAGTGGAGAGGGAGCCTGTTCTCCTTTTCTGATCAGTGTGTGTCCCTCATCTGCACGAAGGACCGGACGGAGGGGCACCGCGCCCGCTCCTGTCTCCCCGCTCATCGCAGTGCGGGAGCTGCTACCACACGGAAAGAGGAAGGTGCTTTTTCAACGCACACACAGTTGTGTTCTGAAGCAGATGAATTCTCGTACGCGACCGACTCGGGTTGAAAGAGACGGGAGGACAGCGGAAGGGGAGGGAAAGCTGAGGACAAGGGAGGTGGGGTCCGGCATCGCAGCGACTGCAGGGGGAAATGGAGAGAGGGCGCCAGAGGAGCCGGGCACAGGGCCGGGAGGATCACCTGCAGAATTCGGGAGATGTCGCACGGCCGGGCCCCGCTGTGCGCGAGCTCCACGATCTTCTGCCGGGTGGAGTCGGGCAGTGGCCGCCCGTTGACAAAGACACCTCCAAGCTGGTTCACGCCACTGTGACCTGCGGGAAGGGACCGGAGAGGCCAGAGGAGGAGGAGGAGAGCGGGGAGAGGGAGGGGAAGGGGAGGAGGATGAAAAAGGAGAAAGAGGAGGAGAAGGAAGAAAATGGAGGAGGAGGGTGAGAGAAAGGAAGAGAGAAAGAGAAAGAGAAACAACCACAATGCATCTTCAGCTCCCTCCCCTGCTGGCCCGTGCCAACCTCAGCAACCAGGTCCTGCTGTGGGGCAAGGAGACCACACAACAGGCCCCCAGCCAGGCAGGGCACGGGCAGCACCGCCCGCACATGCACACCCACGCCGGAGCGCACACCTGCACCCAGGCCTGTGGTCACCCACCAGCCCAGCCGCCACCCTGCGGGAGCCCGGCCAGGTTCAGCCCAGGGCAAAGTCTCCTCGCAGACACCCTGAGCGGTGCCACTAGCTGTGATCTGCAGAGCCCACCACCCTCGAGGGCTCTGAAGCCCCAGCACCCACAGCCTTGGGGCCAAAGTCCAGCGACAGTGGTGTCACCACCTAAGAAGAGCTGGACAGGCCGCTCAGCACCGGCTGGGCCGGGCTGTTTTTGTCCTTTCATAAAAGGGAAGGGAAAGGAACCAAAAACCAGGGTGACCCAGCCTGGCCAGAGAGCCCAGCTCCCGACTCAGTGCCCTTGAAGCTGCCTGAGGGGCAGAGGCCCAGACCGTCCCCCCACAGAGAAGTCCATGGCCCGAGTCCCCACACGACCTCTGCCCCTCCACTTCCACTGCTGAACTCGGCCTGCCCTTGGCCAAGGACAGACAGCTAAAACCCAAGAGGAGAGAAATAGCAGAGACCACATCCCAGTGCCCGTCCCTCCGGTCTGCACCCCACAACCTCCTCCCATTGTCTGGTGGGGAGCACGGAGCCTTGGCTGTGCTGGCTCCCCAGGAGCCACAAGCCACAGAAGCGGCCCCCAGCGCCCAGGGACTCCAGGCTCCCCAACCCGCAGCCAAGTCCACAGCAGCCCTCCCAGGAGCAGAGAAGCCGGGCTCCCTGTCCACCTCTTCCTCGCCTCTCGCCTTCCTCTCCTCTCGCCTTGGAGCCTCCTGATAAATTGACTCCAGGAGCCTGAGCTTCTTAGCAATAAATAAGCTCCAAATATAGAAGAGGGGGAAATATGATGAGCCTCTCTGACATTTGTCTTTAAAATAAAACGAGCTGCACGTCAAGTTTGAGCTTAATTTCTGGAAATAGGCGGAAGTCGCTCCGATCATGCACGGAAGGCTAATTGAAAAGATCAGTCGGGGCGCTGGTGGCAGCCTTGTCACTTTGTGACAGTGCTCCGCTCCAGGAAATTGCATCGTCACGACAAACGGGACCGTGATGAAACGACCCTTTCCGTCCCTATTTGTAGATCACTCAGACAAGATTGGACTGCACTCTTTTCCCCTTCGCGGGAACCACAGTTTCAGGGTAGCCGGAGGCTGGGGCCCAGGGGGTGTACCGTGGAGGGGCCGGGGCCTCAGCGCAAAGAGAAGTGACAGGCTTTGGGGCTGGGGACCGAGCTCCTCCAGCCTGCAGGCCTCGCCCCCCAGGAGCCGGGCCCAGGGCGACTGTGCGAACTCCCAGCCCAGGGCGCCAGCTTGCGGTGCCCAGGCTGTGGCCGCCACCCAGGCCTCGCCCCGTGGAGCGCGCACCCCGGGCCACCGCCTCTGCCAGCGCGCACCGAAAAGGCAGCGAGGCCAAGCTTGGATCCGCCCGAGGTTAAGCCGCAATCATCCAGCCCTCCCTGGGGACCGCGCCTCGCCCAGTGGCGATGATTATGCGCCTCCACTTCGGCCGCGAGGCCTCTAATGGGAAAGCATATGGTGCCAATTTGGAGGTTCTGCGCCGCGCTCACAGCAACCCAGCACAAAGCCGCAGGCCGCACACACGCGGCTGAGCCGGGGTCGCCCACCTGCCCAGGCACACGGGGCGGACTCTCGGGGTGCCAGGCCTGGCTGTGCCCTC